AAAGAGTTTTGTTTTCATCTTTCCTTTTCCATTTTAGAATAATCGAGTCAGTCTATTTTGGTGGGGGGGGGTCACATTTTGCCATATAAAATTATTTTCTCATCAAAAATTTCCTCCTCCTCCTCCTCCTGCTCCTCCTCTTCTTCCTTTCTTACCAAAAGTATACCCTCACACTCACACCGGTCTTTACCTTTCTCTCCTACTCCGTGGATTGCTTTCCCAACTTGGATTTTTTTTTAAAGCTTCCTTCACATGTCTTTTTTCCTTTTTGTTTCACCAAATTCTTTTTTTCCTCTCTTTTTCCTGATAGACTGATTCCCGTGACATCAGCATGTTACGGTCACACCTGTCATACCGTTGACTTCTCAGACCAAGAGAGAGCTTAGTTTTGCTTTTTATTTTTTTTTTAAAGATTTATTTATTAATTATTTTTTTAACCTAGTTAATCCTTTTATTTTCATATGGGCTATGATGAGAATTCTGGTCCCCAATTCAAACTCCCATAGTGACAGGGAAGCAATCCTTCATTTCCTTAAGTATCCCAGGAATTCCTGTACATTAACCTTAGTTTGGATTAGGTTTTCTATCCTACTAGGCAGAATAGAAGTATGTTTCATATTCTTATTTTTCTCTTTTTTTTATTTTTCCATTCAAAAAATTTACACTTCCTCCCCTCCTCTCATTTCCCTCCCACTCCCCCACTCACCCTCCAGTGTTCTGTCTGCATGTCTGCTGCAGACCAGAAGAGGGCACCAGATCTCATTACAGATGATTGTGAGCCATCATGTGGTTACTGGGAATTGAACTCAGGACCTCTGGAGGAGCAGCCAGTGCTCTTAACCTCTGAACCATCTCTCCAGCCCTGCTTTTTTAAATGCATTTTTTATTGATATTTATTGAACTCTACATTTTTCTCTGTTCCCCTCCCTGCTCTTCCCTCCCCTCTTCAATCCTCCCACAAGGTTCCCATGCTCCCATTTACTCAGGAGATCTTGTCTTTTTCTACTTTCTACTTCCCATGTAAATTAGATCTATGTAAGTCTCTCTTAGTGTCTGCATTGTTGTCTAAGTTCTTTGGGAATGTGGATTGTAGGCTGGCTTTCTTTACTTTAGGTTTAAAACCACCTATGAGTGAGTACATGTGATAATTGCCTTTCTGTGTGTCTGGGTTGCCTCACTCAAAATAATATTTACTAGCTCCATCCATTTTCCTGCAAAATTCAAGCTGTCATTTTTTTCTGTTGTGTAGTACTCCATTATGTAAATGTACCATATTTTCCTTATCCATTCTTCGGTTGAGGGGCATTTAGGTTGTTTCCAGGTTCTGGCTATCACAAACAAAGCTGTTATGAACATAGTTGAGCATATGTCCTTGTGGCACAATTGAGCATCTTTTGGATATATACCCAAAAGTGGTATTACTGGGTCTTGAGGAAGGTTGTTTCTTAATTTTCTGAGAAATGGCCACACTGACATCCAAAGGGATTGTACCAGCTTGTATTCCCACCAGCAATGCAGGAGTGTTCCCTTTACCCCACAACCTGTCCAGCATAAGTTGTCATCAGTGTTTTTGATCTTGGCCATTCTTATAGGTGTAAGATGGAATCTCAGAGTTGTTTTCATTTGCATTTCTCTGATGACTAAGGATGTTGAACATTTCCTTAAGTGTCTTTCAGCCATTTTAGATTCCTCTGTTGAGAGTTCTCTGTTTAGGTCTGTACTCCATTTTTGATTGGATTATGTGATCTTTTGGTGTCCAATTTCTTGAGTTCTTTGTATATTTTGGAGATCAGACTTCTGTCTGATGTGGGGTTAGCGAAGATCTTTTCTCATTCTGTAGGCTGTCGTTTTGTTTGTTGACCATGTCCTTTGCTTTACAGAAGCTTTTCAGTTTCAGGAGGTTGCATTTATTAATTGTTTCTCTCAGTGTCTGTGCTGCTGGGGTTCTATTTAGGAAGTGGTTCCCTGTGCCAATGTGTTCAAGTGTATTTCCCAGTTTGTCTTCTGTAAGGTTCAGTGTGGCTGGCTTTATGTTGAGGTCTTTGATCCATTTGGGCTTGAGTCTTGTGCATGGTGATAGATATGGGTCTGTTTTCATTCTTCTACATGTTGCTATCTAGTTATGCCAGCACCACTTGTTAAATATGTTTTCTTTTTTCCATTTGATATTTTTTGCTTCTTTATCAAAGATCAGGTGTTTGAAGATGTGTGGATTGATATCTGGATCTTCTTTTCAGTTCTATTGGTCCTTGTGTCTTTTCTTATGCCAATACCAGGGTGTTTTAGTACTGTAGCTCTGTGGTAGAGTTTGAAGTCAGGGATTGTGATGCCTCCAGAAGTTATTTTATTGTACAGGATTGTTTTGTCTATCCTGGGTTTTTTGCTTTTCCATATGAAGTTGAGTGCCGTTCTTTCAAGGACTTTGAAGAATTTTGCTGGGATTTTGCTGGGCACTGCATTGAATCTGTTTAGTTTTGGTTTCTAAAAGCACTCTTTTTACCATTTTTTTTTGGTGACAGGGTTTCTCTGTGTAATAGCCCTGCCTGTCCTTCTTTGTAGACCAGGCTGTTCTTGAACTCACAGAGATCTGCCTGTCTCTGCCTCCCAAGTGCTAGAATTAAAGGTGTGTGCTAGCACTCCTGAGCAAGAAGCATTTTTTAAGTATATGTTTATTTGTATTTCATGTACATTGGTGTTTTGCCCACAACTATGTTTGTGTGAGGGTGTAGGATACCCTGGAACAGGAGTTACAAACAGTTGTGAGCTGCCATGTGGGTGCTGGGAATTAAACCTGGGTCCTCTGGAAGAGCAGCCAGTGCTCTTAACCGCTGAGTCATCTCTCCAGCCCCAAGAAGCATTTTTAAAATGTTTTCATATTAAGTGGGAATTAAAAACAATGGCTTTCCCCCAACTCGTGGGAATCAGGGCTGGCCAGCAATGGATCTTTAAGAGTCTCAATTCTGCTTTTAGGCTCTTCCACAAATCTGTTGTCTTTCCCAGAGTGGAATCAAAAGCTGAAGCCTCACCCAGCCGTTGGACTAAGGCCAGCTGGGAGTTTCACAAAATCCTAGGTTACAGAATGTCGCATTCCAGTAAGACAACAGGCTTCAGTGACTTTGGATAGAAATTATCTTGTAAAAACAACAGAAGATGGGACAGAAAATACACAAGGGAGGGCAAAAATGTGTGTTCCTCAGTAACTGTCACTTTGGATGGAAAGTCCCCTGCTCCCTGCAGAACTGGGAGAGTTCTGCATATGTGTGTGTGAATGTGACACACATACACACACCTATCTATGTATACACATACATATATATACATACATGCACACACACATATATGCACACATACATACATACATATATATGCAACTGAGCGTTAGCAGAAACAGATGCTTATATATAATATATATGAAATAGTTAATATATAAACTTATATTTGTCTAAACACAGAACAGGGTCTATCAGTAGAAACCCAGAGCCCTGGATTGAACCCCACAGGACATAACCTGGGAAGAGCAGCACAGAACAGCACTTTTAAACCAGAAGCCAAACCAGCTTTAGCCTGGGAACTAAGCCCGACAGGGCAGCATCTCAGTTACAGGGAAGTGACAGAGTTAGGGCCAGGAACGGGAAATCCACATTGCATCCACGGGACTTCCCGAGAGTGCAGGTGAAGTGTCTTGGCAGTACTTGGGCACCTCCCAAGCCTGCGGGCCCCTGTCCAGGTCCTCCTATTTCTTGTTCTTCATTCTACCACCAAGAAAGCCACTGAGACTAAATTATTACCCCAGAACAGGTCAAACAAACCAAAATCATTTTTTTAAACATAAAAGCATTGCTCTGACTTTCCCCAAGCTATCCATAGAGAAAATTTCTTACCTACCTTTTTGGCTATATGTCACATGACACTGCTCTTCCCCATTTCAGAAAAAGCCTTGTCTTCTCCTCAGGAGGAAGGTGTGCCACAGAGGCGGAAAAGAATTTGAGTATTTGGTCTTGTCATGGGTTTTCCCAGCAGGTGTATTATTATTAGGTCAGAGGCTTGTTACCCCCTCCCCCAGGTCCATTTCTCCAGGGTTGTTCATGCTTCATTCCCTAAAGATAACATGGATGGTGCGCCTTGGTTATCCCACATCATATAAAACTATAAGCAAATACATTTGCTATGCCTTTTCCTTGATAGACTGACTCTCATCACAGTGGTGATGTCTATGACTGGTAGGGTGGCAGAAGAGAGGTCCCCCTCGGACCCCGCCACAAGTAAACCTGCTCTGTAGACACGTGGAGATGATCCAAAGAGGCAGCGAGTTTTCTTCTGTGGAGGGTATGAAATGGTTGCATCAGTGTGGCGTTCTAGCTGCTTGGAAAGTTCTGGTAGGGAAGGAATATTCCAAGCCAGGGGGACAGTGTGAGGGGGGTGTGAAGGAACATGCTTGGGAAACCACAAGGAATCCCCAGAATTGTGCAACTCTGCCTGCGATGTTCATGCGTGTTCATCGGCAGTGGTCGCTCACTGTGGGCCTGCCAGCCCTGCGCCACATTCAGAAGCTCAGAGGGAACTTAGCTCACGGGTGCCTTCTTCCCACGTTAGAGATGAAGAGACTGGGCCTTGCCGATCAAAGTAATCTGCTTCTATTAGACAAGACAGCTTTCATACACAGACGCTCTCAGTTAGATCTCATCTGCAAACGTGTCTCCCAAAACAAGCAAACAAACAAACAAACCAAAAAGTCTTGCGACTCAGGAAGCAGCCCCCTTGGACTCTTGCCCATCCTATTTGTTGAATTAGGACATTGACTTAGGATGTTCAAATATCATATGCAACTTTCTGAAACAAACCAGCATTTCAGCATGAACTACTGTGAGCTTCTTCTAATGTCCCCTGGCTGAGGGTTCCTGTGACACCCCAATAACAGAGGCTCTACAGCAGGCCTGGTGGCAGGGGCTGGGGAGCTGCAGGAGGCCTGGTGGCAGGGGCTGGGGTGCTGCAGGAGGCCTGGTGGCAGGGGCTGGGGTGCAGCGGCAGGACTGGTGGCAGGGGCTGGGGTGCAGCGGCAGGCCTGATGCTGCTGGAAGGAGCCCATTGTCTAAGACGGTACAGCAGAGGTGACACAGGTCCCGTAAATCTGTGCATAGATTATGGCAAAGCAGGGAGACACGGAATGAAGCAGGATCCATTTAAAACACATCTAGATGATACAGTGGTTAGCTATCACTGCTATTGAACCTGTGCATTTTGATAAAAAGAAACCTGATAGAATAGTCTCAGCCAGGAGATCCGAGTGCTCATGTGAACATTCCTGGGTTGGCTGACTGGCTTTGCGAGTCACCCCACCACTACAGTTTAAGCCCTCCTGTCCCCCTTCCTGTTTGCCAGACAACCCAAGCACACATCATTGTTTCAGGGTCATAGCATTACCTGGCCCCAGTGCTTCTTACATATTTGCTCCTTCTGCTCTTATCCCAGATGTGTGAAAGCCTGTACTTTCATGTTGTTTCTCCTCTTCTCAGAGCCCCCTCCTGATGGCAGAAGATACAACATACTTCCACACTAGTTCAGAATTATGTATAATAAAGGGTTATTTATATAGGGGAGACTTACGGATCACTGTCCTAGATCACAGTCCTCTGCACGAATGGAGAACAGAAGTGAGAGAGCGAGCACACACTTTACAGCTGCATTTAGAGTATAAGAGACCATACCAAAGTGGGCTAGTATCTTAAAGGTTATTGGCTAAAGGAGCTGAAGGAGCTCCACAGCACCTCCCCCTTTGATTTAAACAAGAGCGTTCTAAACCCAATACAAAACTATATGCACTAGGAACAGATATCAAGTATAAGATTAGAATTGCAACCAATTCAATTACAATTAGAAACACATCCTAATGTTTTGACAAACATTCTATCCTAAGGAGTCTAAGTCTTGTATTGGAAATGGCTTGATTACTTCATAAGAGGTTGATAACTATGACTATCTAATCTTCAGCCCCATCGAAGGCCTGAGAAGGGAGATAATGATACTTGAGTAGGCAGGAAGTGCAATCAACCAGCTTCCAAAAACTGCAGGTGACAGAGACAACTGGCTACCTAAGCAATTACCCAAACTCTCATTTGCAATATTGAAGCCTAGAGTAACTGACAGATCATTTTCAGAGGTAGAAAAATTTTGTAAAACCATCTTTTCCTGTCTTGGCAAGGTTTGGCAGTCTTTTTTCTTGTATCCTGCTTGTCCAGTCTGGACATCGTTCACTTTGTCAGTGGTTAAGGCATGGGCAGTTCCTTGCCCAAAGGCCAGTTGTGCCAAGAAGAAAACAAACTCCAAGTGAAGTGTCTTTGATGCTCAACACTCTCTTGGGAATAGACAGTGCTGCCAGGTGCAACTGTGTCTCATGTCAACAGAATTTTAAATTTTTTAAATTCCGTGTTCCACAGACCTTTGAAGTGGTTGGATATTACATATCTATGCAGACTACAATCTCTATGTATCTAAAGAACATAATTAGTCTGACTAAAAGTATAACAAACATGAATTACTATTGACCTATAATACTTAATATCTATATAACTTAAGGATTAAGACTTCATATCAGAATATTAAACAATCTTTAAACAACTATGCAGCAAAGGAGGACAATGTAAAATGTAAACAATGAATAAACATCTTGATCAGAGGTAGAAATATATACTGCAATATGATAAATATATCCTAAAATTGTATCAATATACAAAATGTCTTAAACAGAGGTAGAAACATCCATGCATACAATCTGACAAAATTACTTTGCATAGGTGTACAAATATTGTAAACAGAAATAAGCACATATTCAATATAAAAATATCATCTGAACTTGTATCAGTATACAGAAATCTATACCAATGTAATTTTCCGTGAATAATAGCTAACAAGTATTCACTCTATTATTCACTATTATTATTAGTGTATGTTCACACTAATCTACCTATTATCCCATTCAGTTTTTCCTCCTTTTTTGAGATCTCCAAGCCTACATAATTTCCACCCCAACTCTATACAAGTAATAATCAACCCCAAAATGGTGTCCCTAACCCCGAGGAGAGGGGACGACATCTTCTAGAATTGCTTCCAGCTGTCATGGGGGTGATGTTTTTTTCTATGGGATCCTGTAAAAGTAAAATGATGGTTAAGTTTCAATATTGCTGTTTTGTATAATGCACATGGTCTCTGAGTAGTCAAAATAGTCTTTTTGGCTTTTTTCTTGGTTTTGTATTTTGTTTTGTTTTTTGAAGTTCTTATTTAGAGTTCTGGCCAGAACGTTGTAAGAAGGAGCACCATTTCCGCAGCTGGTACCCAAAAACCAGTCTGATAATAGTGCTATCGGCATGATGTCATATCAACCAGGTGGAGGCATTGTTGTGGGGCCCCATCTTCTTCCTGGAAGTTTCAAAGATTACTGCAGGAAAATCTACTGTTCGTTGTTGAAACCTTAAACATCATTCATATAGACATATATCCAACAAAAGATACCATATAGACAAAATGGGCATGGAGAAAAGTAAAATATTTCCTTAAAATCTATTTTCTTTCTGTCCCATACCAGATGGCTCCTGACATGAGACAGATAACAGATTTCAGGTGTATCATAAAAATCTGCTCCTGACATGAAACAGATAACAGAATTTAGGTGTATCATAAAAATCCAGAGTTCCCAACTCACTTTAATTGTCTGTCTAGTAGCATTTGAAGTTTCCTGCTAAAATAGTCATACCTTTCAACCTAAACCAATAGCCTTTTGCTATGACACCAAGATATAAACATGTTCCAGTTCTCTTACAGGTTCTGGGAAAAAAAGTTCTGCTGTATCAAAATTCAGGTCTGGAAAAAAAAAAACCCAAAAAACAAAAACAACAAAAAAAACCTAACAGTCTCCAGAGCCTTTTGCTAACCCCAGCCAGTTTGAAGCATATTTTACAGGTGGTGTGGGAGAATTGTCTGTATTCTTTCAATCATATTTTAATAAAACGCTGATTGGCCAGGCAGGCAGTATAGGCGGGAAAGCCAGACAGGAAGTAGGGGTGGAGCAAAGAGACTGGGAGTATTCTGGGAAGCAGGAAACTCCCTAGCCATTCCTGCGCAGACCACCGAAGAGGCAGCATGTAACTTGCCCAGCTGAGAAAGGTACGGAGCCATGTGGCTAATGTAGATCAGAATAATGGGTTAACATAAGTTATAAGAGCTAATAAGTAGCCTGACTTAATGGGCCAATCAGTTTTATAACTTATAGAGATATCTGTGTGATTGATTTTCTCTGGGACTTGCCGGCTGTGGGGTACTGGGTGGGGCAGAAGCCCCAACAAACCGGCCCTTCATGTTACATACAGGTCACTCCTGCTGTTTGGGCCAAGACCAGCTCATAAAGAGCTCTCCAGACAAAGCCAAACACCTGCACCAGCTCCTGGGACTTCACCATTGGTACCAACTCTCCTGGATCAAGGACACTTACCAACTAAAATCTGATTTTATCTGCAATTTGCCCCAATTATACACCCAAGCCTCACCTGTACAATCAGGGTACTTCTCTGCCCCATTCTTTCTAGCAATTAATGCATAGGACTAATTATAACAATGTCTTTTTCTCCTAGCCACCTAGCCACCTGCCTTCTTATCTCTCTCTAAAAGCAGCTGACTGAGGACTATAGGATGACAGCAAACCAGATGCTGCTCCAGCCACCCCTCTCACTGAGCTTGAGCCCACCTCCCAGCTCTCCCCTCTCCCACATTGCCCCCGGAAGTAGTCAGACTTGAGTCGATGCCCCTATATCCGAGGACTCTGGGATGTTTAGTCAAAGTGAGACTCCAACCACTGGCACCCCTATATCCAAGGACTCTGGGATGTTTGGATTGGAAGTATCACCCCAACCCCTGGCATTCATTCTTGGGGTGCCAATGGAGTGCAGAAGGCTCCATCTCAAGCCCCCTTCCCCTGGAAATTGCCTTGGTCTGGACTCCTCCTCTGGAAATGCCCACCAAGTGTTGACCTCTCCCCAGGGAGGGTCAGGACCACTCCCACAGACTATTTAGGCTACCGGAACATGTGGTTTTTGGGTTTTGTGTGGTTCCCCGCACCCTCTCTCTCTCTCCCTTTCACCAGGCTCCTAGCCACCCAGGAGCACAACATTTATTAAATGTTGGAATTTTTTATTCGGTCTAATTTGGTCTGATTGGAATTGTTTGGGTTGGTGGAGAGGTTTGTCTTAAGATTATTTCTAACAACAGAAATTCTGAATTTTTCTTTTAACAACATGCGTAGATTTAGAGAAGGATAGCCATTGTCCAACTTCAAAGCTAGCTCCTATTTTTAAGTAGAGATGTATGCATGTGCAGATAATCAAATTTTACCATGCAGATAATGCAGCATCATAAGTCAGATTTCTCTTTGCTTGGTGATCCTTCCTAGAGAGTTATCTTTTCATCTTTAGGCATCTAGATGTCCACAGTCTCTCAACTCTTTGAAGATGAGTATTTTCCTGTAAAGACAAGAACAGAAACCTGCCCCAACCCTTAAGAGCTTTTATTATCGCATGTATAATTGTTACCTCTGTGGACGAGTTGTCATTTCTCTTTCTCAAGAGATTTCTCTTTTTCAAACCAAATCTTTTTTAATTTTGATGGTATCCATAGCTTTTCTTCTCCTTTGGAAACAATAGTGAAACCCTTTCCCCAATGCAGCATATCTCCTGGTTTCTATTGTGAGGTCAGCACATCCTTGAAATATGCTGGCTGATTTAATTCAGAAGTTTTTTTTTCCATTATCCAATGTCTCTCTGATGCTGTTGTTCCTTTCTCATTAACATTAAGAAAATTCAAGGTTAGTAAAGTATTATGCAATCTATTTCTGGGGATATTGTTCATCCCTTCCTGTTTGTTTAACATATCCTTTATAGTTCGATTTGATCTTTATATAACTGCCTGACCTGTAGGATTGTTTGGTATACCTGTAATATGCTTTATATTATTATAAACAAAAAACTGTTTTATTTTCTTAGAGACATATACTGGACCATTGTCTGTCTTGATTTGTGCAGGTATACCCATGATGGCCATATTCTAATAAATGTGTGATTACTGAATCAGCCTATTCTGAGCTCAAGGCAGTTGCCCATTGAAAACCTGAATAAATATCTATGGTATGGTGTACATATTTTAACTTTCCAAATTCTGCAAAATGGAACACATCCATCCGCCAGATCTCATTCCTTTGAGTACCCTTTGGGTTACTCCCTGCAGGTAACAGTGTTTGGTTATAGAAAGAGCATGTAGGACATCTTCTTATAATCTCCTTAGCTTGTTGCCATGTAATAGAAAACTCTTTCTTTAAACCTTCGCCATTGTCATGATGTTTTTAATGAAATTTTGAGGCCTTCAGCACACTTACAGTCAATAATTGATCAATTTCTGGATTACTTTGTGCTAGAGGACCTGGTAGACCCATATAGGATTGGATGTGTGTTATATATTTGGGATAAAGCCTATTCCTGATTATATCTTGAACCTGTATGAATAATGAAGTCAATTCTGTATCATCTGGTATAAATTCAGCAGTTTCAATATGCAAGATAATTCTTTCAGCATATTGTGAATCAGTAACTATATTGAGAGGTTCTTTAAAATTTATTAGTACCATATGAATAGCATATAATTCTGCCTTTTGGACACAATTATAAGGGCTTTGTTTCACCTTACTTAATTCTTCTGATTTGTAACCTGCCTTTCCTGACTTATTTGTGTCAGTATGAAATATATGAGCTCAAGTTCTTGATGTGTCACGTACAATTTGAGGAAGAATTCAAGTAGTTCTCTTTATAAGGTTCAGTCTATCACTTTTGGGATAATACTATTAATTTCTCCTAAAAAATTAGCACAAGCTCTTTGCCATGGTTCATTGTCTTCCCATAATTTTTAAATTTCATCAGCAGTAAAAGGCTGCTGGGTCTATACCTGATAGTTGACAAAGTCTCAATTTTCCTTTTATAATTAATTCAGAGACTTTTTCCACATAAGTTTTTAATTTTTCACTTGGTTTATGTGGCAAAAAGATCCATTCTAAGATATTATCTTCCCTTTGCATTGAAATTCCTGTAGGGGAAATTCTAGAAGGCAACATGACTAGAATACAGTTAAGATTTGGATCCACTCTATCTACATGTGCCTCCTGTAATTTCTCTTCAATTACCATCATTTCTTTTTCCACTTCAACTACTAATTCTGGGATTATTTAAGTCTCTGTCACCATCTAAGGTTTTGTTTAAATGAACTATTAGATCAGGTGTTATCCCAACAACCAGTCATAGACTGGAAATATCTCCTAACAATCTTTGAAATTCATTAAGAGTCCATAATCAGTCTCCCCTAATTTGTGCCTTTTGTGTTCCAATTTTCTGTAAACCTATTTTGTAACTTAGGTAATTGGCAGAATCTCCTCCTTGTATTTTTCAGGAGCAATTTGTAATCCCCATTTAGGCAAAACTTTCTTTACTTCTTCAAACATTCTTTCTAAAGTATCTACATTTGAGTCAGATAACAAAATGTTGCCCATGTAATGGTAAATTATAGACTTAGGAAACTGCTTGCATTTTATTTCCAATGGTTGACTTACAAAAGCATTGGCACAAGGTGAGCTATTGAGCAGTCCCTGTGGGAAGACAGTTCATTGGTATCTCCTATTAGGCTGAGATGCTCTTAACAACTGAGCCATCTCTTCCCAGATCCTCTTAATGTTAATGATCTTGAACACAATTCAAGGTATGTTTGAGTAGATCTAAGAGTCTTCTGGCCCTTTGAATGGAAAGGTAGGGTAGAGGTTGGAGTCAGGCCCTTCCATGTCATTCCTTCCTGTTTTCCAAGTTTTGAAAACTGAATTGGGTCCTGTAGTTGAAGAAACTCATTCACACTAAACAATCTCATAGGAGTCTCACATTTGGAAATCCAGAATGCTTTTTTATTTATGTTCAATATGTTTTGTATTATGTTCAATAACAGTATGGAAAAGACTGGGCATAGTGGCTTATACCTGTAATACCAGCAACTGGGAAGCTGAGGCAGGAGGATTACCCTAAGTTTTAGACCAATCTGAGCTGCATACTGTAAATTAGGTTAGCCTCAGACTCTGGGCAATCCTCCTGCCTCAGCCTCCTGGAGGAATTTCAGGCGTGTGGCTGTATGGCAAACTATCTAAAAGACTAAGCAGAAGAAAGTAGATAACATATGTAGCATGTAGATATGTGTATATATATGTATATATAAGTATGTATGTGTATGTATGCATATATATGTGTATATATTTTTTATAACTGATAACAATACTAATTGCCATATGAGTTAACTGCACTTGAGGGTTGGGTAGTACTAAAGATAGAACCCAGGGCCTTAATGGATACTTGGCGAGGGCTCTAGCAGTGAGCTATATCCCCATCCAGAGGCATTCATGACAAGTAGATCTGATTTGTTCAGACGTGAGAAAGAAAGGATCCCAGCCAGCGTTAACTCTGAAGTAGCCAACAAAGATTAAAACTAGCCTGTGAAGTCCTCGTTGCTTTAATATTCAGCTTAATAAAGTGTTTAAATACCGCTGACAACACCCCTTCAAAATTGCATGGTCTTGCTTTGTTTTTCTAAACCCTTGGAAAACGTTAGAACTGTTTCCTGAGACAAATTCCACTACTTCAGTGCCTTAGACACTGCTGACTGCTTCTGTCAAGGTCACCTTCCAATGGCCAGCTCCTCGTGATGCTGTCAGGTAGTTTACAGTCAGAAGTCACATAGCCCCAGGTCTGCTTTGCTCGCAAGGAATTCTCAAGCCGTTTTCTTCAGTTACTCAGACTGTTTCCCAAGGGAATCTGCATTCAATTTAACTATCCTTTTCTGGAACTGGCTGTCTTCTCCACACTGTTCTTGGCTTTTCTAGAGCGGAGGAGTTTTTGTAGAAGGTTGTGTTTAAGATCAGAGAATAAACAGGCTGGATCCAGAAGAAAGCCGTTGGCGAAATTCCACCTTGTTGATTAAGCAAACATTACTGGGCGGCTATTTTGTGCTGTTGATGCTGAGGTGAAGCATGAGACCTGATATCAAGGACCTGGGGATGGGATGAACAGTCAGGTAGATGGCACCATCAGCGGAACCTTTTATGAGGTCAGGGTGATGACTGGCTTTATGTCAACTTGGCACAAGCTAGAGCTATCTGAAAAGAGGGACCTTGATTGAGAAGATGCTTCCATAAGATCTGGCTGTAGGATATTTCTTAATTAGCAAGCTGGGGAGGAAAGGGTTTGTTTGGCTTATGCCTCCGCCTCACAGTTTATCATTAAAGGAGGTCAGGACAGGAACTTAAGCATGAATGGTGCCATCCCTGCCCTGGTGGTTCTGAGTTCTATAAAAAAGCAGGCTGAGCAAGCCATGAGAACAAGCCAGCAAGCAGAACCCCTCCATGGCCTCTGAGTCAGCTCCTGCCTCCAGGTTCCTGCCCTGGATGAGTTCCTGCCCTCACTGATTTTGATGATGCGCTATTATATGGAGCTGTAAGCAAAATACACCCTTTCTTGGCCTGGAGAGATGGTTCCGTGGTTAAGAGCACCAGAAGCTCTTCCAGAAGTCCTGTGTTCAATTTCCAGCATCTACATGGTGGCTCACAGCCATCTATAGTTGGATCTAATGCCCTCTTCTGGCCTGCAGGCATAGGTGAAGATAGAACACTCATATACATAAATAAATCTTTTTTTTTTAAAAAAAATAAATAAGCCCTGTCCTCTCCAGGTGCTTTGGGTCACGGCGATCATCACAGCAATAGTCACACTAACAAATACAGTCGAATTTGCGAACTCATTGCAGACATGGTCTAAGGTTGCCCTTAGTTTTACCTGCATTTCTTAGTGTGCAAACCATTTGGGGAGGCTTCCTTGGGGAAGAGGCTTGATCTGACTTTATAAAAGTAGAGAAACAAAAGGAGAAAAGGGAGAAACGATAGCATGGACAAGGCACTGAGCTTTCAGATGTATAGGACTATGGGTAAAGCATTTATTTGAATCTCTTCCAAACAGGTCAACTGTGCCTCTATCCTCTTCCATCTTAAAACAAAAACAAAACAAAAAACAAAAAACAAAAAACAAACCTATGTTGATAGTAGGGACTGGACCCAGAGCTTTGTGAATGGCAGCCAAGTGCTCTCCTGCTGAACTCCATCTCCCTCCCCCCAACCCCAAGACCTGTAGCCTTTAAACAGCAAATACGGAAGGAAATTGCTAAGGAACTTCATCATCATCATTGTTTGTCTGGTTTTGATGTACCCTGAAGCCCAGGCTAACCTGGCACTCACTATGTATCCCAGGCTGGCCTCAAACTTACAGTGATCCTCCTGCCTCCGTTTCCCAAGGACTGTGATGATAGG